AACAAGTGAAATCCTCATCAAGTCAAAAACCTAGCCAGATCATGTTCTATTTGATTCAGAAAGTCAAAGATAATAGATTCTGACAGAAGGAACATGACACCTGCTTAGAGAAAACAAAGATAAGAATTTTACGTGGCATATAAAAATTCAAGTGAGAGAAAAATAAAACATTTAAGTAGTTGATAGAAAACCCTGCTACCATAGCTTTCTGTGACCTTTGAAATAAACTTTGAAATATGAAAGAGAAGAAAAAACTTTCTCAGACCAAATAAATATTGGCAATAAACAGGTGGAATTTAACATTTAAAACATGATCATTTATGTCATCATCCCCTAAATGTAATACTTTGGTACAAGATCTCTATAAGAAAATACAAGATTTTCTTATAGAGAAAATCTTGATCTTCAAGATTTTCTACAAGATGCTACAAGATCTCTATAAGATCTCTCTATGTGATCTTCATGAAAAAAATAATAAGGCTTTCATGAATAAGCCCACAATTTTTTGTTTTGGGCTAGTAGTTAATTTTAGCTGAGACCCTACATTACATTTTTTGATTTTTAAAAATTTTTAGTTGACAGTGCTCGCTTCGGCAGCACATATACTAAAATTGGAACGATACAGAGAAGATTAGCATGGCCTCTGCGCAAGGGTGATGCGCAAATTCGTAAGCGTTCCATATTTTTACTTACTGAACATAAAAAAACACAAAAAATTTTAGTTGACATTCTGTGGTTTATAATACTGTTAGTAATGATTTCTTATGCACATAATTCCAACACCATACCCATCACCAATGTACCCATCTCCCTCTCCCAAAACCCTAATGTCCCTCTCTTTCAATAAACAAAGATGTTTTTAAGAGAGAAAATAATTTATGTCATAGATAGGAAAACTGAACATTGTTAGATGTCAGTTATCCTCAACTTAATCTATAGATTTCATGCAAACCTATCAAAATCCCTGCAATTATTTTGTGAATATTGAGAACCCCATTCCAGAGTTTATATGTAGAAGCAAAAGATCCAAGTTAGCTTACAAGTTTTGAAAGAGAAGAACAAAGTTGAATAGCTGACATTCCCTTGACTTCAAGATTTTCTATAACAGTATAGTAATCAAGGCATTGTGATAGTAGCAAATGTATACACAAATAAATCAGCAGAATAAGAGAGTTCAGAAATGGGTCCCCATAAATAGTTGATCTTTGTTCATTGAGCAAAAATTACAATGAAGATAGTCTTTAAACAAATGGTGTTGGAACAGCTGAACATTCACATGCAAGAAAATGAATATAGACATAGAAAATGAATGCACAGACCTAAATGTGAAGGTATAAAACTCCCAGGAAGCAATAATGAAAAAACTTAGGTGACCTTGATACGATGATGCCTCTTAGATATAGTATTACAGTATCTGTGAAAGAACTCATCGATCTTTCTATAAAGGACCTCTGTTCCTCAAAGGGCATGTCAAGAGAATGAAGAAGAGGGGCTAGAGAGACAGTACAGTGGGCAGGGTACAGGGGTTATGTGTTAGGTATGGATTACACTGAGGGTACAGAATAGACAGGGTCCCAGCTGAGATTTGTTTTTTGGTCTGGTCTTCTAAGCTGTCAGATTTGAGTCACCCAAGAATTGACGGAAGCCTCTGAAAGAATAAGTCATATTTTCACTCAAGGACAGTAGACGCAAGGGCCAGGAATATTGCCCCATAGTTGGAAGCCTGCCTCATGAGCTGGGGAAGAAGGCAGCTAGAAAAGAGAAGGGATCACTAAGACAATGATGGTCGGAGGAATTGTTCAGGGTGGGAGATGTGTGCTGAGAGTAGATAAAGGACCAAACGTGATAACCTCCAGTATCTGTGTTGCAAACCATAATGCCCAAAAGTAGAGAGAGTATGGGGGAAATGTCTGCCATAGAGGCAGGGGGAGGATCGGAAAGGGGGGTATACTGGGGACATTGGTGGTGGAGAATGTGCACTAGCGGAGGGATGGGTGTTTGATTATTGTATGACCGAAACTCAAACATGAAAGCTTTGCAACTGTTGTAACTATCTCATGGTGATTGAATTTAAAATATATTTTAAAAAAAAGAAGGCAGATTTTGTAACCATGGTAAACTTGAACACTGTGTATATTTAAAAAGTTGGGCCTTCAAGCACTTCCAGGAGTGACCCCTGAGCTAGATCCAGGGGCCAGCGCTGAGCACAGCTGGGTTATCCCAAGTCTCCCAACTGTGCTCTCTCCCCCCACGCCCAAACAAACACAAACACTGTTCATCAATTTCCTCAAGCGGGCTCAGTAATGTCTCCATTTTGAGACTTGATGTTACTCTGTTTGGCATATGAATATATTATTATATACATCACAGGTGCAGGCAAGATACTCTCAGTAGCTTGCTGGGCTCTCCGAGAGGGGCGGAAAAATCGAACCCGCCTCGGCTCAGCTGGCTTCGCACAAGGCAAATGCCCTACCACTGTGCTATCACTCCAGCCCTTACGCCCAACCGGGAAAAAAAAAAATCCAGAAGATTGCCCTGTATTAATTATCCCTTTTCTACCTTGGTGTAAAATCTCAGTCTCTAGGAAGATAAAGGCAAATAATCTTAGCTGGTAGCCCCAGCCACATGATCTCCCCAGGACTTCTCAGACCTAGTTAGGAGTTTGAGTACCTTACTAATAGCTTTTAAAAACAAGGTCTTGATCCTTACAGGGATTAGTGGTGGTGGAGAATGGGCATTGGCAGAGGGATGGGTACTGGATCATTGTATAACTGAAACCCAAGCACAAAAATTTGTAAGTCTACAACTGTACCTCATGGTGTTTCACTAATCAAAATTTTTAAAAAATAATAAAAAATTTTAAGAAAAGAATCTGAGCCAAAGCTGGTGTACTTGTTCATGCTCGAATTTGGCATGAGTCAACATGAAAGGGAACTAAATGTGAATTTGTTTCCTGAGGAAGGAGGAGCATCTCGGAAGACCATGAATCCCTCTCAGTGTCTTAACTAGCACTTCAGGCAGACTGTTGCTCAAGAGTCTTTGCTGATCCAATATGCAATTAGCCAGAGATCTCTATCTGCAAAGAAAGTTTGACTTTGCCAATCTATCAGCAAGTCTGTATGCGTAAGCCTGCCTGTATTTAGGAGCCTTTGCCCATCAGGAACTGTATCACAGAGTGGGGAATGGGTTGTGGGTACACAGCACCCCTGTTTCCTGATATGCTACCCAGACCAAATTGACTAGGAGCCACCACCCTCTTCCTCCTGGTTCACCCAGACTCATAGTTGGCTCTAGTCCTCGTTTTCTCTGTGCACATCTGCCAGTGTCTGGCCCTCGTGCAAGAGAGGAGCTCAGTGAGCATAGTCCTTGCTGGCTACCATGCACTGGTGCTGAGGTAGGACAGTCAGGGGTGAAGGGGGATGGAAGTTGTGCTTCTCATGACAGGTGTTTGGGCGATTGTAGCCCAGTCACCCCCAACCCCTACCCCCACAAAAGAAAAGAAACTCCTGAGTTAATGGTTAATAAAAACACAGGAGTCAGGGCAAAATAAAGAGCCCAGAGGAGATGTGGAGGATGAAGACAACACTGAAAATAAAGTGGAGAAAGAGAAAACCCTGGGCTTCAAGAAGCTCAGAGAGACTCTTCTTTCATCCAAAAGAACAAGGGAAGAAGATTCTGAACTCTGAACTTCAGTGAGCACTGGGAGCCCAAAAGGCAGATTCAGAATCACAAACAGACCAGAAAGTAGAAAGAGAGAGGAAGAGCAACCCTGTCGGCTGGGAGCAGGAGGTGGAGTTAAGCTCTGGCCAGCTCAGAAAGCATCTGGGAAGCTGTGGGCCAGGTAGGTGGAGCCCAGCTGCAGTGGAAACTCTGCTGAGGCTCCTGAAGCGACAGAGAGCAGCAAGGTGACAGGCGCAGGTGGGGACTCCTGAAGGGGCCTGGCCCGGGGCCCAGTCAGTTGTTGAACACTCTCGAGGCGGGTTTACAGAGATTCTCTCCTCTGGAGCACAGCTTCGAAGTGAGCCAGCTCGCAGAGGGCCAGGATTTCTTTGGATCATCTGATAATTGACTGTAATGTTTACCAGGCCATTGTGATTTTTTTTTCTATTATAAAACTAGTCCCAACCAGCCTGCCTGGGAATTTTCTGCCTGAGTTGTTTTCCAACATGGTTTTGCTGGCAAAACCCAACGTGAGTGTTTTCCTGACTCTCCCCTGTTTACACTGACTTTATTTTTACTGCCAGCTTTCAAGTGGGAAGAGAGAGATTAAGTTTAAAGGTCAGCAGGTGAGCAGAGGGATCCCCGTCCTACCTGTCGTTCCTGGGTGTGCCTGTGTGTACTCGCGTGTGTGTGTGCGTGCGTGCGCGCGCGTGTTCCTCTATGTGCATGGCTGTGTGTTTGTGTGCACCTCTGTGTGTGTGACTGTGTCCACGTGTGCTTTTTCCACATGCAAACTGGGCACTGATCTGGCGAGACCTGATCACTTGTTTGCAGGTATAATGATGGTGCCTCTCTGACAGACTGCATTGTGCTATTGAAGAGAAAGGAAATCAATCAATGGGATTTTCTGGATTAGAACCCAAGGGAATGTGCTGTCAACAGGGTAAGAAAAAAGATCTTACTGAGCTCAAAGTTCATGGAGGGTGAGACAAAAACGAAAAATTCAGGAAAAGTCACTATGGTGTATTTGTATTGAATGGAAGTTTGAAGTTTTGGGGGAATATTGCTGAAAGAGTAGTTTGCTAGAACTAAAGGGACTGAAGTAGTCAAATTAGGTCAGACTGCATTTACATGTCATCAACTCTCCTTGAAAGAGATATTTTTTTAAATTCCTCCAAAGATCACAGATGAAAGCTCAGAATTTGAAATGAGAACTTGAGTTTGAAGAACTAAGAAGGCAAGTCTCAGGACCACAGACATATTCCCAGAGAAATGCAGCATCTAGAATTCGACTTGACTGGAAAGAAGCTCTGTTCTCCAGGGAGAAACAAATTGAGAAACTCTGGGTTGCTCAAACTCAGGGTTGAGCAAGAAGCCATGAAATCCCTGACTGCTGAAAACTTAGAAGAGTGCCTGATGAGTAAGGTAAGACAGATGCTGTTGTTTCCCCCTGCACCTCTACTTGCCTCACCCTATTCACCCCTCCACTCCTCACTCTTCACTGCTCCTCACCCTCCATGCCAACCCTCCTCACCTCCCTCTACCCTTCCCCTTCACACCCCTTCCGATTCCTCCTCACTCTCCACTACTCACCTCTGCTCACCTCTTCTCACCCCTCTACTTTTCAGCCCTCTTCTCACGCCATCCCTCTCACTGCCACCCTTCCTCATCCCTCCTCAGCCCTCCTTACTCTCCATCCCCCTCTTTGTCCCTCCCACCTCTCTCTGCTGCTCCTCTTCCCTTTACGCCTCTCACCCCACCAACTGTGAGTCAGATATGTAAACTGTTCCTCAGAAGCCCGAGATGATCAACCCGACAAGGGTTTAGGGACTTTAGTTTATGACTCTCGTTGAGGTAGCTGGGGGTCAAGTGTAGAAAGAGAGTTGGAATTGGAGTTGGTACTCAGCTTTCTTCTCCATAAAGTGGAACTCAAATTAAGGTGTTAGTGGGGTCATTGAAAAAGAGTGTGTGAGGGCTAGAGAGATAGCACAGGGGTCTAGGTGCCTGCTCTGCACATGACTGACCTGGGTTCAATACAGGTAACACATATGGTTCCCTGAGTACAGAGCTAGAAGTAAGCCCTGAGCACTTCTGGTTGTGGCCCCCCAAGCCAAAGCCCACACCAAACCAAACCCAAAAAGAATGTGTGAAATTTTAAGCAAAGATGTTTGGAAACTGGAATAGAAGAAATAGCTCAATTGACTGAATGTATGCTTTGCATGCAGGAAGCCTGGATTCTGTTCCTAGCTCCACATGGTCACCCAAACATGGCCAGGAGTGACCCCAAGCCCTGAGCCAGGAGTGACCCTTGAGCCCCAAGTTATAAGTAACCCCTAAGTCATATGTGGCTCCAAAACCAGAAAAGAAAAAAATTAAAATTATAAAATCCTTATTAAAAATACATATACATATATCTCCTTATATTTTGTTTTACATTGAATGTAAATTAATTTCTTACCTGTAAAGTCATAAGTTCTTTATCCATTAGAACTTAAGGAATCATATATTACCTTTGTTCTGTCTAGTCTAGGGCTTCTGTGCATTTCCAGGTAAACGTAAAAGTCATTATCATAGCACTCAGTAAAGCTGATTCTTTAGGCAAAATCATTCAGAGAGTAGGGGCAAAGAGGTTAAGACATATTGCTTGTGTGGGGCTGGTCTGGTCCATGTAGCCCCCCCCGCCCACAGCACTCTAGATGTGACCCTGAGCCCCTGGTTCCCAGAGGGAGACTGAACCTGCTGAACACCTCCTGGGACCCACCCCTCCCCAAGTCAGGAGAGATACACATAGAAAACTTCAGATGATAGAAATGATCCAACACAGTGACTTTCCATTATTTTCCTTTCCAGTTCTCTAAATGGAAAGAGTGTTGACCGACATTTCCCCTAGTCGTGTGCTTTCAGACAGGAAAAGGACAAACCTTGTAGCCAGGCATCCGCAGGTGCCGGGACACAGTACTGCTCTCCGGTCCCTGCATTCGGCAGCAGGACTTCTGAACAGTGTCACAGCAGTAGTCTCCTGCCTATGTCCAGATTTTCTTTGCTCTGAAGAGTATTTAAATTCTTCCAATTCGTAGCAAACATTTCAAAATAGTGAGACTTTTGCAATGACATTAGATTTCCAATCTTCGGGAACTTGGGGGAAAGATTGGAAATCAGCATTCGGAGTCTCCTCTGGGCTGGAGCTGAGTGTCCTGTGTGTGTGCTCGGCCTCAGGACCAGCAGGGGGAGCACACACTGGCTCCTTGGTGATCTCACCCCCTTGCACCATGGGTGAGCAAGTTCACAACTCCTGTCCCATGAGAACACACTAAGACAGGATCACAGACCTGAGCCCGGGTCCTGCCCAGGGGAACTAGCTTCTTACCTGTAAAGTCTGCAGTAGTCTGGCTTAGCTCATCCCTCAAACTCAGATCAGCACCAGCTTTCTCGAGTGAGATTTCCCAGACACCCTGACATCAAATGGTCTTCCTCTTCTGAACCCTCATTCTAATGATTCTAAATTTTTTTTTGAGAATTAATTGTACATGGACTTCTCTTTTTTATTTTTATTTTTTCATTTTCTTTTGTTAGGGTTTTGGGCCACACCTGCAGATGCTCAGGGATTATTCCAGGCTCTGCACTCAGGAATCATTCCTGAAAGTGCTTGGGGGATGCTGGGATTGAACCCAGGTTGACTACATGCAAGGCAAGTGCCTTATCTGCTGTACTCTCTTCTGACCCCATTTGTACACAGACTTCTGAAACCTCTCCTACTATTGCTTTGAATGGCAATTTAAATATCAGATTGCTTTGTTCTTTTTATAAATTTCAGGGGGTCTTTGCTGCTCTCTATTCCCCCTCGACATTCAACACAATATCTTTGCATCTAGGTGGTCAGATATCTTTAGGTTTGTTGGAGATTATGCAAGAGTCCTGTGAAGGAACTGGCAGGTAAAGAACCCAGACAGGATCCTGTTCATATCTAATCAACAATCATGTGACACATGTAGCCGACCTTATTTGTAGAGAGGAGCAAATAGTTCCCCTCAGAGGAAATAATTAGCCCAAAGTTTCAGCTTCAGAATGAAGGTGAGGCCTCACCCTTGTCTGCCGCTGTAAAGTCGTGTTTTCTTCGCTATCCCCACCCCATGCAGTAGCCTGTCATCATTCACTGAACACATGCCTAATGCAAAACACTGCACCAAATCCCGGGTCTGGGATGTGGTCTGCTGACTGACACAGAAACTAGGTAGCCCTGGGAACTTTGAGTGCAGCCCTATCCCCACCAGCTGCTTCCTACAACACTCCAAAGGTTCCACTCAAGAACAGAGGCATCATGCAGTGAAAGTTTGATTCCAAGGCTACAGTGAGGGTTGGACAGAGCTAAAGGGGATCAGAAAACACACATTTCACCGTAAGAGGAGTGAGGTCGGGCTGCTGGGCATCAGAGGTTTTAATGAATGGAGAAGTGCAGCAGAGACTGCAGGCTGAGGTAACACCATGCAGGCAGCTGGGTGAGTTTGGAGCCCACTCACAATTCCCGTGGGCAGTTATGTGCATGGACTTTAGAATTACCTGCCTGGGTGTGATGTCCAGATATGATCTACTCATCTGCTTACAGTAAATGAGAAGCTGTGCCATTTGCCTACACTGTCTGAGCTTCACTTTTTTACCTATGCTGTCTTAGCTACACTTTTCTCATCTGTAAAATAGGGAGAGTCATAGGGTCCTTAAGGGATTATCAGTAGGCTGAAAAAATAACCTGTGTAAAGTATCCTATGTAGGACAAGTGTGCATGGGTTTAGCTCCATAGTGCTGTGATTCTTGGACACTTGAGAGTTGCAAATTTCCTAACATTTAGCTCATGGAAGGATTAAGATGGGGGGATGATGCTTGAAAGGCTACAGTCTTCCCTATATCCCTGAATTAAAGGCACATCCCTTTAAATGATTTTCCTCTCACTCACTGCACTGGAGCACATGTCTTGCACATGGGAACCCTGGGTTCCATCCCTGCTGCCATAGGGTACCCTGAGCATCAACAGGATCAACCTGCTCACCAGGCCAGTGTAGTTCAGAAATAAAAATGTATTCTCTTATAAAGACCAAAATGGGTCTGGCCTTAAAAAACAGAACAAAACAAAAAAACCCTGGGCCTGGGGAGCTAGCTCAAGTGGGTGGTCTGTGGGAGGCCTGACACCAGCCCCTGCATGTGGGGCTCTGCGGCACCACTGGGAATGCGTCCAGTGATCCCATAAAGGTTCCTACCGTTGACTTGAAGACAGTTCCAGAACCAAAAGTCAGACTCTGTTGTTTGAAAGGAGTTGTTAGACCTTCTCTCCTCAGTGACTCTCGTCATGGGCACATGCTCAGGGGAGGCAGCAGACCCGGATGGCTTCCTGGCCTGCAATTCCTTATTGCCCTTCTCTCCCTCTCTCAGGAAAGCGTGTCGGAATGCCAGAGAGTCAAAACAGTGTCATGACTAAGAATAACCTTGAATCCTTTGCAATTTGTATTTGAAACAGTAAATTTTCCATAAACCCAAGCTATTAATAGTATCAAGGGACATGTGAGACAACAAAGGGCCTGGTACTGTGGTACTGGAATTGGAGACGAGAAGGGGAGGGGACCCCAAGGTGAAGGCACATGTGTACATGTGTGCCCTACAGATAGGAAGGCTCCCCTGAAGAAATGGATTGGTGGTTTAGTTCTCTCTCTCTCTCTCTCTCTCTCTCTCTCTCTCTCTCTCTCTCTCTGTATGTGTGTGTCTCCCTCCCTCCCCCCCTTTATCCCTCTCTCTCCTCTCTTATTCATGATTATTGTGGTTTGGGGGCCACACCTGGTGCTGCTCAGGAAGTGCTTAGGGTACCATGTGGTGCCAGGGATTGAGCCCAGGAGCCTGTGTAAAAAATCCCCACTCTTGGGCTATGAAAGCCCCTCACGTACACAGGGATTATACGTGAAAGGATGTTCTCGGGCTCTCTGGGCACCTCTCTTGCCTCCCAGGTTCGGTGCTCTCAAACTGCTTCTCCACCCGGGTCTTGGACGGACGAAGGAAGAACGAGGGCCAAGCTGATTGCTGATTAGTTGTCGTTTATTCAATCTCTCATCTCTCCCAGTTCTCTCCAACTCTCTCTCTCTCTCTCTCTCTCTCGCCCCCCCCCCCATGAGTCTATTCCTCTCTAACTGCGCAGTTCTCTCTGCTGTCTCTCCCTGTGTTCTCTCCTTTTCCTTCAATCCTCCTTTCTCCCTGCAGCTGCTCTTTTTTATCCTCTCACCAACCACCCCAACCATGCCTCCCCATGGGAAGCATGATCAAAAATGTTTTTCCAGACTCCCCAACCACTTGCAACCACAAGGGCAAAACAGCCTTTAAGGTGTGTTTCTCCTCTCCTTATACCTGCAACTTGATTAGCATCTTTAATTCTATTTTCTAATATTTATCATTCTGTATGGACACAGTAATAGACACTTTTAGATTATAGGGCGACTCTCCTGGGGACATCTCACCACACCACAGACTGAGACTACAGTGCTCAGGCTGGATCAATCATTCCTAACCCCGCCAGTCCAAATCTAATTATTACTTTTGAATCATGACAGAATTTGTCCACGGCCAAGCTTTTAACTTATAGTTAAGCATTAGGTCACTTTGGCCAGGCCCATTTAGATATCAGGGTAGCTCATAGCTCACCACTTGCGCTGGGTCCATCCAGTCCCTCATCAGGACCCTGCTTTGGGGATCTAGGAAGTAAGGGCAACTGAGGCTTAAGTTGAGAGAGTGGATGTCTGGTAGGTATATTATCTGGAGTCAATCAACTCGCAAGGCACAGGCTTATCTTTTTAACTATCTTCCTGTATCCATACAAAAAGCAGTTGCTCTGAAATAACTAACCATGCAAAGGACAGTAAGGAGAAGAGAAAGACAATATTTACAAGTCAGCAGAGTCTAATCAGGAGACAAAGGTAATTGATAGGTTGGGGGCAATCAACAAACACAACTCCCAGTGGCCAGAGAGGAAGGGCAAACTAACATTATCCTACACAGGAGCCATTGAAAGCTTCAGCCTATCTGTCGAGCTCTCTCCCCACTGGGAATGGTTCTTTGCATAAACACTCTTAAGTAGGTAGAGTCTGCTTGCTAGTAAAGGATCATAACTTTTTCTGGGGTTAGTGTGGTAGGAGGATCTGACCTCATCTAGGCTCTGTCCCTTGCTCATTAAATACTGTCTACTCTGCCTTTGTTCTGCTATATCTGAAAATGTGGACATGGGTTTAAACAAAAACCCTGTCTTTGTTCACTGACAATCAAGTGATTGTGGTGAGGGGTAAAACTGAGTCACCTGAGGTCAGGTTTGTGGGTTTTTAATCCCAGGTTTCTTAAATGATATAGACCCTCTGAACTGTTTCCCGTGACTTTGCCATGAAGTGAATCTGGTCACATGGCAGTTTGGAGGCTGCCGCTGGTACCTTACTTATATCCTGAGGGTTGAGAGGCAATAAAGGGGTTCTGGGGCTGGCTCTCTGCTATGCTCAAGCTCCCTTTTTCCACCACAATCACCCACTGTGAAGTTGCCTCTGACCCTCACCCTACTTGTCCACACCTTGAAATGGCCTGGACTTGCTCTATCTCGTCAGGCTCTGGTCAGGATAAGTGAAGGGGGAGCAATCTGTGGTTCCTAGGCTATGCTTAACCATGGGAGTGGCAAGAAGTACTGAAACTGAGCTGGGAAATCCCTAGCAAAGTACTGGTTACATCCCTTCTGGCTGGTGAACGGCTAGTGACCCCGCAGTGATAAAGACCTGCTACAGGACTGGAGTGATAATACAGTTGGTAGGGCAGTTGCCTTGCACACGGTCAACCTAGGTTCAGTCCGTGGCACCGCAGATGTTCCTCCAAACTCTGCCAGAAGTGATCCCTGAGTACAGCTGTGTGTGCCCCCTCTCCTCCCTGCCAAAATAAAAGAAACTTCTTCCAAAAGTGGGGATGGTTTGGAGGAGAAAGGGTTGCCCATCGCCTGATGGGAATGAGGTTCTGCTTGGTCCCTGATAGCCTGGTACTATGGACACACCAATAGAATTAAAAGATTTGTGAAGTTATCTTAGTTCTCATCATATTCTGAAAATTTGACCCACCTTTCCTTCCTTCCTTCCTTCCTTCCTTCCTTCCTTCCTTCCTATCTTTCTTCTTTCTTTTTTTCTTTCTTTTTTGGCTTACTTCTGACTCCATGTTCAGGGATCACTACTGGAATACTCTGGGGGACCATATATGATGTCAGGGATTGAAACTGCATTGGCCGGCTGTGTGGAGGACAAACACCTTCTCTACTGTACTCTCTCTGGCCCCAGACATGACTATTTCATAATACTTCTTCCCACACATTACACTGACTGCTATCTAGTCACCCTTTATATTATTTTTATTTTTAACCTCTGTATATGATCAAATTTCTGGCCCCTGAGCAGGTCCAATGTCCCCCAGTCTTCCAGAGTGGCTTCTTCTATTCTCTGCCAAGGCTGAAAAACATGATTTCTACTAGTTCCTTCATTTTTCTACAGATCATGTCCAGAATCTTGCTTTTGCAAGATGTGGCCAGGGACCACTCAAATGTCACCTCCCAGAGAAAACTTTCCTACCCCCAAAACTAAAATAGCAGCCCCTCAGGACTGGAGATGTGGCTAAGTGACAAGGCCCTGGGCTTTGATCTCAGCTCCATATGGACCCGCAGACAACACCCAGTTCCCTGAGCACTGCTGAGTAGCACCCAAAATAAGAAAACAGCAGGTTCTTTCTGCTCTAGTCCTGTACCTGTGTTATTTTCCCTCATGTGATTTATCATACATAATATACACAAGTGTGCACTCATACATGACTATATATACATGCATGTACACATAACAGGCATGCACAGAGACACAGACATATATCCCACCTATTCATACTCCTGCATCTCTGTCTTGTTCCTGCCTCCTTGCTCACCACGGTGCTCTGACTGAGGCAGGCAGGGAGCCTGGGAGGGAGTGCTTCATAAACGTTGGTGCTGCTGATGAGGAGAATGTTGAGGTGCTGATGAATGTCATAAGACTAAAGTTCATCTTCCCTGAGTCCATGGGAGGGCAGAATCCTGAGCTAGTTCTTTAGCTAGCTGGTTGCCTTGGAGTTTCCTTTGCCTGTGTCATGGTGGCCCCCACAGAACTAACCGCCTTTACCGTTCCTCTCTCTCAGGTAGAGCAGAGACGCCAGCGGCTTTCCCAGATGACAGAAGAGGTGCAAAAAGTCATCCACCGTCTGACCACAGAAATAAGCCTCCAGGACATTAGATTTCAAGCCGTCCCTTATTCCGACACATGCAATGGAAACATTAAAGTAAGTTAGTTCTCCCCTATTACCAAGTCCCAAGCCTGAAGCCAGGAAGTGGGGGTGGGGTGGGACTCAGCATGTGTCAGGCACTCACACCACAAGGAGTCCTCTAGAGCAGACACACTTTATAGGTGTTCTCGCATCAGAGCCTCAATATGCCGAGTTTGAAGATGGAAAAACTAAGTTTTAATAGAAGCCAATGAGGGGCTGGAGTGATACCACAGCGGGTAGGGTGTTTGCCTTGCACGCGGCTGACCTGGGTTTGATTCCCAGCATCCCACATGGTCCCCTGAGCACTGCCAGGAATAATTCCTGAGTGCAGAGCCAGGAGTGACCCCTATGCATCGCCGGGTGTGACCCAAAAAGCAAAAATAAAATAAAATAAAAAATAAATTAAAAAAACCCAATGAGAGGCCAGAGAGATAATACTGGAAGTAAAGGCACCAGCTTTGTGCACCTCTAACCCCAGGCACCACACGTAAGCCTCTGAGCACTGCTTGATATGAGCCCAAACCCAAAATAAATAGTTGATTTTTTTTTAAGTCAAGGACCAAAGAGATAGTATAGTGTGTAGATGCCTGACTTGCACACTGCTGATCTAGATTAGAGCCTACACGTGTTTCCCTGGGCACCACCAGAGGTGTTCTCCATGTACAGAGTCAGGAGCAAGCCTTGAGCACTATAGGTGTGTCCCAAAATAAAAATTAAAACAAAAAAGCAAAACCAAAAGTCACGTGACTCAATTGAGTTGTGCTGACCTAAAAGCCAGAATTTAGATCAGGAGAATCCCAAGAATACTCACTCTGATTAGATTCAGGTACACACCATCTGTCTATTTAGTCCCTGCTGAATAAACTGGGGATGAGGGAAGAAAACTCAGAGAAGTGTTGGTGAGAAAAATCGTGGAAAGTGGTAGTCTATGGATCTCAGGTAAAAGGAGGATGAAAGTGAAAGTGCCATTAGGAGGTGCAGGCCAGCCTTGCGGCCTGAACACAGGCTGAGGGGGTCACTCAGGGCTGTCGGCAGTGGGGTGGTACAGCATGTCTGCTCTGGAGTGGGGGGTCTGTTCTCCCTGGAATGAGGTCCTCCAAACTTGGTGATAACTTTGTGGAACAATGTCACCATTAGAGAAGTGAAGCTCTGCATTCTGCACCCCCATGCTTCTTAATCTCATTTTAATGGACTCATAACAACTCCTCTCATCTATAGCAAACATAAACATGTCCATGCCCTATTTCTCACACCAGACTTTACATTTCTTGGTTGTTGAGATCATGGTTATTAATGATTTTATTTTATTTATTTATTTTTTTTGCTTTTTGGGTCACACCTGGCGATGCACAGAGGTTACTCCTGGCTCTGCACTCAGAAATCACCCCTGGCAGTGCTCAGGGGACCATATGGGATGCTGGGAATCAAACCCAGGTCGACTGTGTGCAAGGCAAACGCCCTACCTGCTGTGCTATTGCTCCAGCCCCTGATTTTATTCTTAACACCCAGCCTACTGTATGGTGTCAATCACAGCTGAATGAATGAATGAGCAAATGGGTTAGTACCTAAACAAAAGGTACTGACAGCTTATCTAGAAATTTCAAGGTTGGAGTGCAGCAGGACCATATACAAGTTTCTGGGATTTATGGATTTGGGGAGAGTCAGATCATAGGAAATTTACCCAGATGAATATCATGATACTGAATTGGATTCAAATGAGTCAGAACCTCATTTGCTCACCTCTACCTATTCAAGCAACCTAAATTAGACAAATATAGACAAGTGCCTAGAAATAGAAATAAAGTATAACTAACTTTTTCTAAAACTATCCAATGAACCATCCTACTGTAGCCTCAGTAAGAATTTATAGCAAAATATATTTTTCACTTACGCATCATAGCCTCAGATTAAATTTTGAAAATAACTTCATTGGGGTATATGAAAATAGCTTTTTATGTTGTTATTGAACAAATTCGGCAATATGCATGTATTTTAAATTCCTCTTTTCAGCAAGTATTTATTAAGCCCTATTTACAAGACTTGCATCATGACAGTTGCACTGTTTGTGCTAACCAGATTCAAACAAAGGGTAGATTTTAAATGCAGTGTTTTAGATCTCCACCCTCTTTTTTTCATTCCCAGACCCTTTCGCTATCAACACAGAAGTGGGGAGGGAGAGAGACCTGGTAACCAAAGCAGAAAATATTGTTCTTTGAGAGGGAGACCCTCTCAGTTGCTGCAGGTCTCTATTCATCCCTGGGTTGGCCATGACTGAGCACAGGGCAAAGGTTAACCATGTTTCACTGTCAGAATTTCCATGAAGAGGAGGTAACACCCCTCTCAGCAGCTGACTGTCAGGAAAGGTTCAAGGTGGAGTGGCTGCCAGGTGATGTGGTCAAGGAGCAAATTCCCTTGGGGAAATGGGACTTTGACCATTGTGTGTAGCTCAGATCACTTTCTGACTTAACTGGTTCCTACATTGAAGGACCCTGTAGATTTGATTGCTTCTTTTTCCTGACTAAACTTAGAATCTTCTCTATAGTCACTTTGTCTGAATCAACAGGCTTCATGTGGAAGATACAGCTCAGCTCAATATGCTTGATGCCCTGGCACTGAAATAAAAAACCAAACAGGCTTTTATTTCCCCTTTCATTTTAAGGTTTAGTTATTAATCCTGGCTGTGAATCTTCAGCACAGACAGAAAGAAAGAGGAGTATTTTGTGTAATTCTTGCACTTCCTCTCCCATCCCTTTCTCTGCTTTGAAATATCAGATCTCTACCCATTTCAGGTCATTTATGCTTCACTGAGAGAAAGCAACAATAGAAAAACAACCTTCCAGCTCACCCTTAGAAGCTCTGAGCTCAAGTCCTAGCTCTACCACTTCCTCAGTTCCTGGGGAGACTTGGAGCCCCTCTTCTCGGGGATGTTCATAAAGTTCATCTCCTAGTGGTCTATGAAGATCAAAGGATCCAATGCATGGGAAACACCCAACTTAGGCCCTCATTCCATGGACGCTGGTTTCTTCCTCTGCTTAGCCTAAATTTTAAGTGCCCTCCAGAGTTCTAGGTCAAGTTCACTCTTTTGTCTCACTGATTCATGAAGCCAAGGACTTAGTGAGTTAATGTACGTTCCTGATGCATTGCAGTGAGCCGAAGGCAGACCAGAGATGAACTCCTCAGACCACAGCCTCTGGGCGTAGCATCTGTCCATCTCATTACACCCGAGGTCTGAGCCTCCAGCCAAGCTGCCTGCTCTGCAGGTCTGGGCTGTGAGGATTTCTCATCCTCATTCTTTCTCCTTCCCCATCCCCAGGTCTTAGCGCCCACTCAGTTCCTTGTCACAGTCCCAGTGAAAGGTCTTGCTGGTTACCGGGAAGCTCGAGAGAGGCGCTGGCGATACTACACCCTGCAGGGCACCCGGCTGCCCTGCCCGCTGAGGGAGCCCGAAGATCTGCAGCAGTGGCTGGAGGTGGACCAGTTTGTGAAGAGCCTCTGGCAGTGGCACAAGGCAGACGTGAACATTGAGGGGGACATCGTGCCCGCCAAGGTCCTCCAGGTGTTCCAGAAGTTGGTGGAAAATGCGATTGGAGCCTGTCACCTCTCAGGTGAGCTGAAGAGAAGAGACATTTCTGGCAGTTACCATTTTTTCCTAAACAGCCTGCGACCTGGATGTTCCCTAGAGCACGTGTTCCTGCATGGAGCTGACATTGCTGTGTCATCTCAAGTGTTCAAGCCCTTGATACGAATGATGAATTTTTCTCTTCTCCCGTCACCAGCCCAGAGGGTTAAGCAGATCTTTCCCTGTGTAGATGGAGGAGTAGATGAAAGACTCTGTACTTTTTCCTTGATTCTCACTGAAATAGTTGGTGACTGTTTTGTTTGATGGATTTGGAAACTACACCCCATAGTGCTTTGGGGGCTACTCAGGCTCTGTGCCCAGGGATCACTCCTGGCAATCATTCGGTGATCACATGTGATGCTGGAGGTTGAAATGGGGCTAGCCACATGCAAGGCAAGCGCCTTCACCCCTGTCCTAGCTCTCCGGCCCTTAGTCACTTAACAAGCATTAGGACTCTTAGCACATTTCCTACTATATACCATCCGGCCATCTGCACAGTCCCAGGTATTGAGAATCCTCATCTGGAAACCACTAACTTGTACTAAAACACAAAATCCAGATCCCTTAATGAACTAGCAAGGTTTGACAGTCCCAAACTTAGACTACAGGACAGTGGAACAATGTGCATACATGTGCACACGTACTCAGAGTTTGGTTTCTTCCTTTCTTTGCTTTTTGGCCACACCCAGTGTTGCTCAGGGCTTACTCCCGGCTGTGCTCAGAGGAGCATATTAGATGCCAGGATTGGACCCCTGTCCTTCGATTCCAAGGCAAACTCCCTACCCACTATACTATCACTTGAACTCCTCGTAGTTTGGTTTCTCCAGTGTGTTTCACGAGACCCAGTCCTTTCTCATTTACAATTTCAAATTGGGGAAAAAAATTCATTTTCTTCGTTATGAAAAGTGTTTATAAGCCAGTCAGAAAGAGTATGAGAAGGACCACTAGAAAAAAAATGACAAAATATGAATCGCAGAAAAACAATATAAATGGCTAATAGGGAAAAAAAATCTTCATTTAACAAATATTCCAAGAAAGGTGGATTAAGCTACTTAACATGTTGACAGGAGAGAGTAGGTGTGGTTGTGGTTGGGGGAGGGGTAAATCCCAGAGATTGGCTTCTGGTACACTGTTCTTGGAAGTGTAAATTGGTGCCTTCTTTTGAAGGGGCAATTTGCCCATTTTTATTTTTATAATGTGTGTTATCCTTGACAGTTCAGCAATTCTACTTCTAGAAAGATATTCCTACATGTACACAAAAATGTATGCTAAGACTATCCATGACCAAGGGTTTATAAGAATAAATAAATAGAATTATCAAAAGGCTAACAAAGGAAAATAGACCAAATTAGACTAACTCTGTAGTGTCCAAAGATACAGTCTGTGTTTGTTTGTTTGTTTGGTTTTGGACCTACACCCAGTGGAGGTCAGGGTTTACTCCTGGATCTGCCTTTGTGCTCAGGGATCACTCCTGGCAGGGCTTGGGATGGAACCAGAATCTGTTGTCTTACCTAGAGAGGTGATATCTCTCTAGCTTCAAAGACACAGCCTTTAAAAGGAATGAGGATCAGTAGGTAGTATAGAAGTTAGAGTCTGTGCACCTGGCATGTGCCTGACCCAAGTTTGATCCCTGGCACCAAGTGGTTCCCAAACATTTCCAGCTGTAGCCCTGGAGACCCCAAGTTCCTTTCGAATGGCCCAGGAAACTCTTGCATTGACCCCCCCCCCAGTCCACTTGGCCAAGAATTGCCCATGTGACCCTCCTGGACTCCTAAGCACCACGTGGGAGGTGCCCCCATGTAAAATGAGAAAAAAATGAAAAAAGAATAAGGTATGTGTGTATACATACATAGAGTTATAAAAAATGCCTTGCTAAATAATTAAAGGAAAATGGCAAAATGCTGAAATTTGTAGTTCATTTGTTGAGAAAGAAAAGTATTTGTGTGTACATTTCCTTGTCTAGACAGAACCGTTCGGAGAGGTCTATAATAAAAATAGTTCATGTTGAATACATTTGTCCTCAATGTAGGATGCATATATGGGTGACTGGATTCAGTTTTTGCAGCAACCGATAGAGTAAGAATTCCTTTTTTAATCTTTTTTGCACATGAAAATCTAATATTTGGAGACCTTAGGCATACGATTAGAGGGATTGTAGAGATAGTACAGTAGGTAAGGTGTTTGCCTTGCTTGCTACTAATCCCAGTTTGATCCCCAGCACCACACATGGCCTCCTGAGCACAAAGTCAGGAGTAATCCCTGAGTACCTAACCCTGCCTTTCAAGGACCCCTCCTCCAAAGATCAGACATCCAGTAAGCAGAGCAGCAGGACGAGGGTGAGGCAGGCTGGTTCCTGGACTTGCTCACCTCTTCACTGCATTTGCTCACCTCTTCACTTTGCAACACAGTTAATAGTGAGAGTAAAAATAAGAGATTCACACATGGCTGGCATGAAAAGGTGCTTTCAGTCCATAATACTGATGCTCCAGACAACGTTACATTCCTGCCAGCACCACTTTGATGAGAGGCAGACAATAAGTTCTTCACCATCCACCCCAGCCAAGGAGAGGAATGTTTTTCTTTTGAGAAGCCTGACACAATGAATGGATGAATTTTCATTTTCTTCTCTTAGCAAGGGAAAGGGAAAGCCAATCCATCCCAATTCCAGACTATTCGTCCTTGTCTACAATGGAAGCACATAAATAAAAATTGCTGTAATCTTTGACAGAAGGAAGACTAGATTAGAAATGAATTCTATTCTACAAGCTGGAAAGCTCTACTCGATGTGTTTATTTTCTCTCTTTGGTTGTAATGAGGCGAGGCGGGGGGGTGGGGGGGGAGGCTCTTTTGTGCTCTAGGACCCAGAAACCAGTGACTCTGACATCCTTGGAGGTGGTGAGATGGACTTACAATAAACATATCTGCGGCTGGGGAGATGCAATGGCTGGTGGGAGTGACGGCCCCAGGAGGGTGTGGCTTAGATGAGAAATAGTTCAGCCCAGCTCCACCAAGGGCAGAGCATAAGAGGGGGACAGCCTGTTCATAGGCCACGATGGAACGTCAGGTGAGCGGGCAGGAAGGTGGGAGCATGGCCGCATCCCTCTCACAGCAGCAAACACTGACGCTGTCTGTGGACTTACAGTGGTTTCTCTCCTTGAGGCTTGTGAGAAGAATCTATTCATTGAAAAGAAAACACCCTAAAAGCCTTGTTTGAAAAAAAAAAACCTTGTTTGGGCTTGGAGAGATGGGTACACAGGGTACACAGCCAATCCAGGCTCAACCCCCAGCACCACCTAGGGTCCTGAACTCCACCAGGAGCGGTCTCTGAGCGCCGAGCAGGAGCAAGCCCTGAGCTCCACTGGGCGGGCACCACTCCCCGCAAAGAACGCCTTGGCTGGTCTTGCTCTAAACCCTCTGCCCTTTACTGTGCTTGTTGAGCTAAACGTTCTCCTGCCTCCCCGCCAGGGAAGGTCTGCATGCTCTCCAACAGCAGTGCGGTGACGCTGGAGCTGGAAACTGCAGGAGGCCCCGTGGAGCTGCAGCTGGTCCCCGCCATCGACATTCCCAGTGCCTGGCCCGAGAAAGCCCGCTGGCCAAGGTGCCTGCAGCGCTGGCCTCCCCCTGAGAGAGTGAAGTGCATCAAGGTATGGCAGGAGGGAGGTAGGGAGAGGGTGCGCGGGCCTTGGCCAGCTAGACCAGAGCCCTACCAGCTGCTGGATCACGCGCTGACCCCCCCCCCCCCGCCCTGAAAGAAACACTGCTTCCCCAGCTGGGGTGGTCTCCCCCTGCCACACACCTGAGACCCTGTTGGACGTGCAGACCCCGCCGGCCCGAGCTGGAAGGGCAGGACCTGGAGTCTGACCCTTCGAGGGCTGTGCCCGCTCAGGGGTGCTTTCTGCCCACAGCAGCTTTCCTCTGACGCTCCACTTTGTCTCTGCCAGTCATTCGGTTTTACCTTGCTGGCCGGCTCCAGCTACCATTGGCAGCTGAGCTTCCTGTGGGCAGAGCACGAGCTGCTGGCGCAGCTGGATGAGGATGGAGGATGCCGCCGGAGGTGCCTCCAGGCGCTGAGGCAGCTGGTGGAGGAGAGCTGGTGCCCCGGACGGAGGCCAGTCGTCACAGCCCACCACCTGCAGGTGAGCGGGGACGCATGCAGCGCGTGGGCGGGAGTCGGCCCGCAGACTCTCAGGGGCTAGGGAGGTTGAGACTGGGCACCAGCACGATGACCCACCCCACAAGTGATGAGGATTCGATGCCCTCAGCCCATACACATCTGCCCCACAGGACCACCCTGTCTGCCCCCCCCCCTTCCTCTCCCCTCCCTCTGCCTTTCCCTCTGTGCTGCCCTCTGTCTCCGTATATTTTGTTTGACTCAGCCACCGCACATGGGTGCCTGCTCTGGTCAGAATAGATTTCAGTGTTGGGCTGGCTGGAGGAAGCCTCCATTCCCAGCATCCGGCCCTTCTCTGACTCCTGGTCCTGTGCTCAGGGATCACTTCAGGCTCGGGGGGCCATATGGGATCAGCCACATGCAAGGCAAGCACCTCCTCTACTATCTCTCCATGCTCCATTTTCAACACTTGGGGTGGGGGTTGGAGTCACAGCTGGCTGGACTCAGGGGGCTCTGTGGGGTGCCACTGACCCATCCAGGGACAGCCGCCAACAAGGCAACTGCCTGAGAGTGGCCTCATCCCCACGCCATTTCCCTGGTCTGGGGTGGCATTTAGCCAGCAGCTCAAGCCTCAGCCAATACAAACTTTCCCCAGTGTTAGGATTCATCCCACGGAGGGTGCCCAGGCCCTGTGCAGCCACCACCCACTAGGTGAGCTTCAGGGTTTCAGACCACTGGGCAGGTTCATCCATCACGAAGTGGCTTCCGCCTGCTCCGGTCTGTCGTGCTCCACTCCCTGCCTCAGGCTGTGGCTTCTCCACACCAGCTCCACCCAGCACCTCGTCCCCAGTTAGAGGCGAGGGCAGGCCAGCATGGCGCCTGCTCTGGGGCACTTCACAGAAGTGTTCAGAGCACACAGGTGCTGCTGGGGCCCTCAGGAGGGGCTGGTGGGCCTGGGAGGGGCTCTTTCATTCAACCACACCCTCCGCTTCTCTCTCTAACTGTGAAAGGCGCGTAAGGACCCCTGAATCGGGAGGTGCCTTCTCTCCACAGCCTGCACAGCCCCCCAGCTCATGGGAGCCCCAGCACCCTCTCTGACCTGAGTATGGTGAGCACCGGGTCCAGCCTGGCCCGTGTGTGTCCTGCCTGAGGGATGGGAGTCCCATCGAGTTCTGCATTTCCCTTCAGGGGGCTGTGGGAGGACAAGACCCATGGCAAATAATGCTGGATCAACCGACTGGACAGGTCAGCACTGTGGCCAGTTTTCTAGGAGCCACCAGTATTGATCCCAGCATTGCTCAGCAGGACCATATGGTACTGGGGGTTTAACTTGGAGCATTGTGCAAGCAGGGCCTGTGCTCAGCTCCTTGATCTCTCCTCCTGGCCTGAGGATATCCAGCATAGGCACCTTAAGACAAATGCTCTATTTGTCATGCTCACTACTGCACCTCAGGAATTCTCCCCAGACTTTGTACAAAGTATTTGCTCAGTAAACATTTGTTGATTGAATGAATTCACATCTTATTCATTTTATTTTTCCTTCGTGAAACTGGTTAGGTTTTCTTTCTTTTTTTTTCCTCCCCATAACCTGTCCTTCCTGACCTGCCCCTGGATCTGTTGACATCTTATTTCTACACCTCAGGGACTTTCTTTGGAGTTTCAACATCTGTGACCATCCCCAGGCACATTTGCCTCATCATGTCACTCTCCTCCTTGACCTGGGAGTGCGTTCTCTGAAGACACTCTAATTTGTTTTGTGGATTGAGCTGCATTCTTGTTTGCCTTTCCAAGGGCACTAGGAAGGGCCAAAGTTGAGAGCAACTTCAAAATCCTCCCTAGTGACTACTTTCCTTGCTCGAGGCTGACTCAGGATCGACCCAGGCACTGCAGATGGTCCCCTGAGCACTGCCACGCAGACCCCTGAGCTCTGTAGTCAGGAGTCCTGAGCACTGTCAGGTGTGGCCTTAGAACAGAACAAAACCTAAACAAAATGAACACAATAAAGATGCTGAAAAATGGCTTGAATACGGTTAGGCAAGATTAAACAGGACTGTCCAGGGGCTCACAGATCATTAATTGCTCTCAAAACAGCATTTTACCCAAGGATTTTCTTTCGGTAGCCTAAGATCATTGAGAGCAGGGACTAGAAAGGTAATACAGAGGGTAGAATCTTGCACAGTTGACTGAGGTTTGATCCCTGGCATTCCATATGGTCCCCCTGCCAGGAGCACACACTGAGCAGTGGCCCCAAAATAAACAAACAGAAATCACTGAGAGCAGCATTTCTCAATTGGGGACCACATGCCTCCTGCTTTCCATGGGTCTAGGATATTTTAGGGAGGTTACAGGTGAAAGTCATGTAAATGGGGGCGGGGGTCAATGCATGGAAACCAGGACAGCAGGTGCAGGAAGGAAGCAGGCCGGTAAAGAGTGCGGCCAGGGAACCGCTGAGAAGCAACTTTCTAAACCTCATTGTTCTCTGTTTTAGTTCTTCCTAAACCATCTTCTTGGTACAATAGAATTGTGCATTCCCAAGAAAAGTCATTAAAAAAAAAAACCTAAATTTCCCTTTCCCTTCCCTATTGCCTGGCCCCCAGGTCACACACTCCATGGCTGAACCTGAGGCCTGGGGTCTTGTCTTGTGGGTGGTGCCAGGATCCCATGGGAAGCTCCTGGGACTCCCAAACCGCGTTGGAATGGCACCAGACCAAGATTGAGCCCACACCCTCATGCCGCATGGTGACAGCACAGCTCCACAGCCACACCTGGGCCTGAAGAAGATTCTATTCTAAAGGTTCTTTGGGGATACCAGGCCCAGAAGGAAAGCTGCCAGGTCTCTTCTCCTCATCTGCCCGCGGTGCCAGGGTCGAACTCTCATAGTCAGGGCTCTCTCCCTCCAGAGAGGGCAACATATGAACATGCCAGCATCCAAAGAACCATGGGGGCATGGCCCACTTGCCAGGGGAAAGGGGAAGAGAATGTGTGCAAGCCAACACCAGGACAGGCATGCCCATCATGGTCCCCTGATGTTGAGTCTGACCTGTCACTGGTCACCCAGCAAGTGTTATACTGTCCTCCCTGAGAAAACCAAAGGGAACACACGCTTCCCTTTTCCTGATTTTTGTGTCCCTCAAACCCTTCTCAGGAACCCGGGCTTCACTCTAGCAGGCTCCGTGCACCCAGGGCCGGGGAGATGAAGGCTTAACTGCAGGAGAAATTAACATGAGTTTGTGGTATATAGATTATTTTGACTAGCATGAAATTATCTCCAACTCATTTACTCCAAATAATTTAATGTTCATTAAACCATGTTTGAGATCTGGCTATGAACCTCAAATTCCTCTTTCACTGTTTAGTGAAGACTCTATTTTAGGGCTGAGAGTAGTTCAGTGGTAGACGCCTGCCTTGCATGTGTGAGATTCTGGTTCTGATCCCCAACCCCCCCCAATTATCCCCCACATACACACATACACAGACTATATCTTAGAAATACTAAATATATGTTTTGAGAACCAGGGATTCCCAAAAATTATTTGGTCTACTGATCCCATTTTGGGAAAAAATATAATTGAGAACATCCCTGGAAATCTGCCTTTTTAAAGTAAACAAATACTAAGTACCCCCCAGTCGCAGCTGAGTGTGTTTGCTACCACTCCCTTCTCCCAGATTATTCCAGCACCCTTTTAGAAACACTGATCTATACCATAATATTAATCATCTCACTTAGAAAATATTGATTATCTCCCATGGTTCAGTCTTTTTGTTGGATGCTAGTGTCCTAAAGATGATTAAACTAGGTCTAGGGGTCAGAGACAGTACAGGAGATGAGGCACTGGCCTTGCATACATCTGCATTGGTCATGATCCTGGTACAAATCCCTGGTACTACATATGGCTCACTGAGCACCACCAGGGGTCACTCCTCTGCACAGGACCAGGGAGAGTCCCTGAATACTGTTGTCAGGTGTGGTCCAACCCGTCCCTGATTTCCAGCCCAAAATAAACACAATAGGTTAGTCTTCTACTCTAATAGAATTTCCAATCTAGGTGAAGATCTCATGCAAAAATAATGAAACTACTATTGTGATTATTATTACTACTATTATTATTATGGGGGACTGGAGCGATAGCACAGTAGGTAAGGCATTTGCCTTGCACACAGCCCACATGGCCAACCTGAGTTTGATTCCTCTGCCCCCTCGAAGAGCCTGGCAAGCTACTGAGAGTATCTCGTCCACATGGCAAAGCGTGGCAAGCTACCCGTGACATTTTTGATATGCCAAACACAGTAACAAGTCTTAAAATGTTACTGGGCCCTCTCGAGCAAAATTGATGAACAATGGGAGAACAGTGACAGTGACAGTGATTATTATTTATGAGAAGGAAATAGTCCAGAGCAGGAAGTGGACAACATGGAGATTTGGGTCAGGTGGTTGCATTTTCTGGACTAAGGTGTGCTCCTACAGGTCTGTAGGTGTGAGGCTCAGGTAGGTGAGAGCAAGAGTTGCTGGAAGACTGAGGGCAAGACTAGGCTGGGGGGGTGGGGGGAGAACAGAAAACAGGCTGTGAGAACCAGACCATGGCATGGGCTTAGGTTAACAGAAGCTGGGGAGACTTTGACGTTTCAGAAACAAAAAAAGGCACAGATTCATATTTCAAACAGAAGGAGTTGGCTATAGTGTGGATGATGACAGTTGATTGAATGGTGACAGGAACAGATAGAGAGGGGGAGAGAGAGAGAGAGAGAGAGAGAGAGAGAGAGAGAGAGAGAGAGAGAGAGAGAGAGAGAGAGAGAGAGAACAAGGATTAAGGCATTTGCTTTGCATGGTACTGCACAGATAATCAGTACCACAACTAGGAGTCAGTCTTGAGCACAGAACCAAGAATAACCCCTGAGTATACCAGGTGAATATCGGTTCTCCCGTTGTTCATGAGTATACCAGGTATGTCCTCAAAACTCTGTCCCGGGGGCGGGGGGGAGTGGCGGAGGAGAGGGGGCGGGGAATAGGTGCAGACTGGTTAGGTAGCTGTTGCAGATTCTGGGTGAGATGGGGTGGAAAAAGTCGGCGATCCTGCAGGAAGGGAGCTGGGTTTGAGAAACGCTTAGGAGAAATGGCAGGGCTGGATAGCAGTGTGAGGGTCAGAACGAGTCTTGCCTAACAGGCTGGAGAAGCCAACCTGCAGACAGAGCAGGTCTGCAGGGAAGCCTCGAGGTGACTCTCAGGTTTCTAAGAGATGTGGGGAAGAAGGTCAGGGTAGAAGTGTAGGCTGTGGGGCTAGGGAGGGAGATGTTGCAAGTCCCTCCTTCCCTGCATGGCACGGAAATGAAAGTTGCCCTAGCAGAAGAAAGAGCGAACAGGAGAAAGAGGGTGTGGGACCGGAACCCCAGAGAGGACCACAGCTAGAGGCAGGTAAAGGGGAGACAAGTGTGAGGTGCATTGCAGTGCTGAGAGCACCTGGAGATCCAGATGGCTGGAAGCCAGGGCTCCTAAAGCCGGAGGGAGAACAGGGCTCTGACGGGGCATCAGGAAGGGTCGGGGGGAGGGGCTGGACACAGCAGCCAGGAGAACAGTGGCCGGGGGAGAGTGGCCAGCATCTGAGGGGTGCTGGGAGGATGGTGGCTGGGGGAGCGGTATTGGAGCAGGCTGGCCCAGGGCCAGGGGAAGCAGCCCAGTGACTCTCCAGTGAGATGGTTCTCAGAGGAGCAGCTGAGCAGAGCGGTGTGCCAAGGACATTGCAGACAGGAGCAGGTCTCCAAGCTGCATGGAAGAGGGGCATCAGGCATACCTGGTCTCTAGCTGGGAGCCCATGGGGGGGCTTTGCCACAGCTGGGAGTGTATGGGGGGCTGGTGGGCAGGCTGTCAGAGGGAGTCCTGAGCGCCTCCCTCCTCCACTCCCCCCCCGCAGACCGTGCTCTTCTGGACCTGCGAGAAGTACCCGCGCGGGAGGGACTGGCAGGCCTTCGGCGAGGCCTTGCTGCGGCTTGCGCGCAGGTTGCACAGGTGTTTGCGGCAGCGCTTCCTGAGGCACTACTTCGTGAGGAAGAGCAATCTGCTGCGCCACGCCAGCCCCCGCGAGCTGGACGCCGTGGCCCAGAGACTGGCCTGCTTCTTGAAGGACCCGCGGCCCAGCGCTCCCTGAGGCCGCATTGCCCCCGCGGAGGGGCCTGTCTTCACCCCCTGCAAGGGGCTGGGGGCTGGGTGCCGGGGTGTCGGGTCCACGGAGATGCGACCTTCGGAGATGACACGGATTTCACCAAGAACGGCTTGGTGAAAGGGTCCCTTCAGAGGGAAGCCCAGGCCCCCTGGGAGTCTGACCCAAACCCTTTGTTCTCTTCAGCTACCTCTCTGAAGAATGGCTCTTGCTGCCTCCCAGACCACACATCTGCACTGATGACAGTTCTGGGTTTATTCCCCTCGCTCAGGCCCTGACGGTCTGCGCGGGGACAGAGAAGCCTGGAAGCCAGGCATGGGCCACAGCCACTAGCCATGAGCTCTTTCTCTCTCACGGGCCAATCTGTTAACACACTCCCCTGGGGCAGGGTGGCGGCAGGGCGAGCCAGTGCACTTCCCTGGGGAAGGCCTTGGGGACACACCAAAGAGCGCCCACTGCTGCACTGCCTCCCTGATTAAACGGATCCCCTGACGGCATGGGCGCCTCTACAGCAGTCTGTGGCTGGGTCTGCCCCAGTTTCTCTGAGCAGAAAGAGTAGCTGGATGAGGAGGGAGAGTCAGGGATGAAAAGGCTACCAGTCCCAGCCCAGCACATTCCCTCCCTCTGTTCCCTGCGGTTGGGGGCGGGGGAGGGGGGTGTCTCCTCATGCTCAGGGAATGAAGCTGGTTCCGTGGTGGTCTGCGAGAATGGCTTTGGGGACACTGACCGTCAGCACTTTTCTTTGCTCGTGTCCTCCAATGGTTCATGGTTCATGGATAAGAACTCAGTAAGCTTTGGGGACACAGTGAACAAGCAAGGACAGAGCTCACCTGATGGACAGACCTGGTGGCAGAGACAAGAAATAAATAACGGGTGAATAAAGCCAGTGGCTACAGTTTGTGGCCAGTGCCCTGAAGACTACACAGAACACTGAATGAGAGTCGGGAAGAGATGCTTGTAAGATTGAGAAGCCGCGGGCTGAAGGGGAAGGCAGGGAGGCCTGGGTGGACGGGGATCCGAGGGCCTGCTTTGACCTGAAAGCAGAGAAGGAATCTGTATTTCACTCTACAATCAAAGATGAGCCTCTGGGTCTCTCCCAAAACAAGGGTATCATAATCTGACTTTCACTTGGAGGAGAGAGTGAGGGGGGTGGTGGATAAGCCCCACCCTGGAAGAACTCAGGATTACTCCCAGCTCTCTGTTCAGGGATCACTCCTGGCTATGCCAGGGTACCCGAGATCACACCCAGGTCAGAGTGTGCAGGGAAAGCACTAACCAGTGAACTACTCCAGGCCCTGATTTGCCTCCAGTCTAACAACTACATTAAAAGGATTGGGGGCTCGCATAAGGGTCAGATTACCTACAGACCTTGGGTCCCACCCAGTTTGAATTAAATGAGGTCCCCAAGGCCTCCCATCCTGTTAATTCTGACCATTAACCCAGAATTCCAGCCGTTCTTGGTGAAATCAGTGGTTTCTTCCAGCATTTATTTAATGCTTTTACACCCAACAAAAATTTTAAAAACATTTTTAATTGATTGAGTTTCTGTGATTTATGACGCAGTTATTGATGGTTCCCCATGCCTATAATTCCAACACCACACCCATTACAAACAGAGGCATTCTTTGTTACTTAAAACACTTCCACCAAATTTATAACAGTGAAACGTCTCAAAGTATATGCTCCTGATCTTTCTCCTGAATAAAAGTCATATTTGACATTCAAACAATGATTGTTGCAGAAGTATCTTAAATTTGGGGTCCCTGTCACATATGATATTAGGGCTTTATATTTTAAACAATGTTTCCTAGCCACTAAGTTTATAGTTTTTGAAATCACAAAATAATAATATGCCAGTGGCTTGTTTAGTCATCAAAACTTGCATGTAAATTTTTATACTGCATCTTGGGAAACATTTTGGGGTTTGGAGGGCAAACGTGATGGCACATGGGGAGTCACGCAGGTGGTGCTGGGACTCCTGTGTGTAAAGCGAGTGGCTGACCAGCAGAGGGTAGCAGGGGGCCACGCAGGAAAGAATGCGTTTCCCACGCAGGGGCCAGCAGGGGGCGCCCTTCTCGGCCGGACTCCCCATCTAGCCTGTGGGCAGCGCCCGAGCCCTGCACAGCGCTGCGGAGACGCCCTGCCCGCACCTGGGCTGAAAAAGCCCCCCAAATTCAGCTCATACTTTAAAGGGAGGCTATGAGTCCAGCCTGGACACCACAACTGTCCAGACTTTATGAATCTGTTTCCACGTGTGTGTCGTGACGGGCAGACCTATTTTTTTTTATGTACTTTTATTTATTTATTTTTTTAATTTTTTTTAAATTATTTAATTTTTTTTTATTAGTGAAACACCATGAGGTACAGTTATAGACTTATAAATTTTTGTGCTTGGGTTTCAGTTATACAATGATCAAGTACCCATCCCTCCACCAGTGCCCATCCTCCACTACCACGGGTCCCAGCATCCCTCCCACCCCCCATCCCCCCATCCCACTCTGCCTCTGTGGCAGGGCATTCCCCCTTGTTCTCTCTCTCTTCTTTTGGGTACTGTGTTTTGCAAGAGAGGCATTGAGTGGCAATCATGTTTGGTCTATAGATTACTTTTAGCATGCTTCTCCTACCCTGGGAGGGTCCTCACAACACCCTTTATTTGGTGCTCTCTTCTCTATCTGAGCTTCCTTTTCACCTAGCACGTGTGGCTGGCCTTCAAGTCATGGAGCAAAATTCCTGGTACTAATCTCAGCCATTCCTGAGTGTTAGTCTCCCGTTTTGTTGCTTTATGTTCCCCAGATGAATGCAATCTTTCTGTATCTATCCCGCTCTTTCTGACTCATTTCGCTTAACATGATACTTTCCATGTAGTACCACTTGTATGTAAATTTCATAACTTCATCTTTTCTAACAGCTACATAGTACTCCATTGTGTAAATATACCAAAGTTTCTTTAACAAGTCATCTGTTCTCGGGCACTCAGGTTTTTTCCAGATTCTGGCTATTGTAAAGAGTGCTGCAATGAACAAACAATTGCAGATGTCACTTCAACTATACCTTTTTGACGGGCAGACCTATTACCACCCAACAAGCCACACACACGTGCTGAGATCCCCACCCAGCGCCTAGAAGTGGGTTGCAGGCGGGGGAGGCTCTCTAGGGGCTAGGCAAAGTCACAGTGGGACCTGGACCTTTGTCAGCCTGGGAGCATGGAGACACACACACGTGCTGAGACCCCCACCCAGCTCCTAGAAGGGGGCTGCAGGCAGGGCAGGCTCTCTAGGGGGGTGGGCAAAGTCACAGTGGAACCACGACCTTGGTCAGCCCAGGGAGCGCCGGGAGAAAGGACTTTCCAGCAGCCTGAGGAGGGTTGAGGAATGGCCAGCTCTGGGGGCACCTTGATCTGGGCTTCCAGGCCCGGGACAGGGAGGTAAGTCAGGCATCCCATAGAATTTTATGACAAGCCCAGGGCAACAAATGCAGAGGAAGTACGTACCTCTGGCTCGGATAAGGTGAGCACATGGGGTGACGGAGGTTCAAAATTCTTATTCAGTACACGGCACACAGGGTTCCTTTGCTATTCTCACGTATTCCAGCACCACTAATTATGTCAATGTTTTTTTTTCCTGAACATTCCACAGACCAAAACTATAACCTGGACCAGCAGCACTGCATCTGAGCAGCACCAGGTCATTAGGCCCAGACTCTGAGCTGTCCGGTCTGGTCGGCCGAGTGTGTCTGGGAATGCTCTGTGCTTGGGAATTTTCAGTCCCAAGAGTAGATCCTACAGATCCTACCAAACAGGAATATTCCACTCTCGAGAGCAGGACAGAGCTATGGACATTCAGCATTTTGGAAATCTTTGACTCCTGATCATTTGGCTCTGTGGGTCATTGCTGATAATTGCCCCCACCCCACAGATGAATACTTCATTGAGAAACAGAAAAATGTGCATAAAATCCCACCACAAATGCCGTAAGCCGTAGTTGCTGGGTTCCTCTGGCTCCAACAAGGCAAGCATCTTTCCTGGCTTCCCCGTAAGTGATCCACAAATGCACGGTGCATCTCTCCATTCACTGCAGTCTCCGCTCCTCCCTCCACCACTGCCGCCCCTGTCCTGAAGACACCAGCCTCACTCATGTGTTGAGTGTACAAGTCCTGCTTTCCTTCTCTTACACTCTCTTCGCGAAGACAAAAAAAAAAAAATAAAAAAGAAAGAAAAAAGTCTTATAAGTGAGAGTCAAAACAGCTTACAGACTAACAATAAAACAAACACCAATGGACAAACACTCTGTGTTGACCCAGGAGCCCCTTCTGTCCCAGCCTCTCTGATAGGTCATTATGATCTGAGTTTTCTGAGTTGCTTTTCTGTTTTACTTCATGGTTTTACTACCTACCCTGGAATAGTTCACAGCACCAAGACCTCAGCAATTGCGAGAGATATTTATTTCTTATCGAAGGAAGAGAACTACTAAACGTAGTTGTGACATCCAGCACTTTATAAGATGAGTCCCAACTTTAGGGAGATTAAATGTGGAGTATTATGCTTTAGGATCAACAAAACGTAACCCAGTGGGCTTTTCCCCTCCATTTTGAGTTTTATGTAAATAGAACCAAACATTATCAAGTTTTCTGTAATTTGCTTCTTATATCCACATGCATCCTATGTAGATGCTTATGACTGCGGTAGGCTCACTTACACTACTGTATAATATTTTACTATAGGGTTAGGTCACTTAGCATATGAGTGCATATATATACATACTATGCACATGTGTACATATAACCACACGTGTACATATAACATACATATGCTATACATGTGTGTGGTATTGAGAATTTTTATTGCTCTTAATTTTTAGTTACTTGAACTTTCAGAGTGCAGAGTGGGACTTTGGGGAACCCAGCAGTGTTCAAATGGCTGGTACTGGCAGAACTCTGGAACCTGGAGTGCCAAGGATCAAACCTGGGGGTTGGCATACAACTATCTTCCC